AGATAGGCCCAGTTGCGGAGCCCGTACTAAATTGGGTGGGGCGAGTGAGGCGGGTTGCCTACCCAGGCGTTTGCAGGCGTCCGGCGCTGTTTGACGTTAAATTTGGGTACCTTAGAATAGGCCTGTTCGATTTTTAAAAATAATCGTAATCGACGATTTTTACAATAATCGAAATTGGGTTCGATTCGATTTTTCAAAATCGAGAATCGAAAAAAATCGAAAATCGAAAAAAAAATCGAGTTTGGTCAATTATCGATAACCGATTCGATTTTTTGTTTATTTCGATTCTCGATTTTTGTTCGATTTACAATTTTTGCTCGATGTTCGATTTTTTTCAATTTTTAATGAGATAATCGAGTTTTGCAACATTAATATTTATAAATTGAGGAAAATACGACAAAAATCGATTGGAGACAAGTAACGGTTCACAAAGAATCGGTTATTTGAATTCATACGAGACGTTCTGTTTATCAATCGAAAATTCCACGCGATGCTGATGTGCTCTGCTGCTCTGTGATCTGCTACCTCGGCTAGCTACCCGCTACCCTAGTACAGCCGAAGCTGAGGCCTGCGGGCGGGCTACAGATGGGGGTCGGGCCGGCCTGGCCGGCGCCGCCGGGGACAGAAATCGTTTCCTGTAGTCAAAATCCGTCAAGTCCACATTTTCGATGTGGCTTAAAAGGGCTTCGCGTGCTTGGTGTGGGCTATGGACCGACGAACGCAGACACAAGGACCTTTATCTAGATAGATGTTCAAATTATGCTTCGAAACAGTCTGCAGTCGTCATTTGGATATGTGCAAATATGTCACAAAATTGCGCAAAATTGTCATAGAAACTTCTGACTTTTTTTAAAGAGGGGTGAAAGGTTGACGATAAGTCCAGAAATCTGCGTAGTTTGTTGCTACGTTGGAAATTTGAGAAACATTGAACGGCTAGACTATTCGATTCGTTCCGCCTTTGTCCCCGCTCCGCCAACACCACGTCCACGTGTCCACTCGTCCACCCCGTGTCGGCGGCGGTCCCCTGCCCCGCCCCCGACCCAAACCATTTTTTTTGGTGCGGGAGGGTCTCCTTGGTGAGGGATGCTGGGGAGCAGGTAGCGACGCGAAAATCTTGTGGAGGAACAGCGGACCGGGCGCTAGAGGCTTTCGCGTTTTGCGCTTTAGCGCACGCGAAGCCTAATAATCGACTAAAGTCAATAATCGTTAGAATTCAATAATCGTTGAAAGGTCAATAATCGTTGAAAGGTCAATAATCGAAAAAAGTCAATAATCGACCAACGTCAATAATTGATGTTTCATTTCGATTTTCGATTATGATAATCGAAATCGACCCTCCAAAAAAATCGTCAATTACTAAAATAATCGAATCGAGTTTTCGATTAATCGAAAAATCGCACAGGCCTACCTTAGAAGGTCGTACTAATTCTGGGGATGGGATATTCGGAACGTACTAATTCAGCCGGTCAGAATGTTGTACTCGTTGAGCCGATCCGGTGATTGGGTGGGGCAGCGTGAAGCTGGCCCCACCACTTTGCACCTGCGAAAAGTACCTGAAGGAGGGCCGTACTAATTCTGAAAATGGCATAGATCGAACATACTAATTCCGTACTAAATGATAGGCCTAGTCACACAGCCCGTACAAATTTTGGTGGGGCCTGCGTGAACCTGGCCTCACCCAACTTCGTATTGACTTTTAAGCTAGTAAATATTCCGTACTAATTCTAATTTTAGTATGGTTCGCACATACTAATTGCGTACTAAATCGTGGTACTATCGGCAGAATTAGTACGGCAATGGGTGGGGCCAACTTCACGGAGGTGCACGGGCTGGCTGACGCTACTGGGCAGGTTCGTCAACGGCGAATGACAGACGTGCATTATGGATTATCCCTTATAAATAGAAGTTGAAAGTTATATCTTTGACACTGAAGTAATCAGTTACAGACGGAGTCCTGCACCTGCACACTCTGCATCGGGGTACCTTTTTCAGGCTTCGATATTTTTTTTTCCCCGTCACATTTGGCTCAAAACGCTGTAAACACATTCGCGGTTAAGGCAGGATCTGAACGTCCAGCAAATTTCGACCCTATCCGCGAGAAAGCCGCAGGTGCGAGGTGCCAGCCGAGAGCGACTGGCGATGGCGACCACCATCCTGCTGGCGGTTCCTAGCAACAAGGAGGCGTCGACTTACAAACAGCCGGCAGAGCCTCTGGGCAAAGCGACAGAGCGTGTGAATGCGTGAGTGTACAGTGTACAGTACGAATCGCTGTACAGTCCATACCGCCGATGCACCGCCGCCGGCATTTTTTTTCCTGCTGCTCAGCTGATGTCTTTCAATAGACTGTCACGTTTCTGTGTGTGTCTTTTTATGTCGTTATTTTCCTCGACTCAGTCATCATAAAATTTGTATAAAAAGAACTACTCTTTCGAACAACAACGATCACCATCATGTAACACCACGGTGTTGCATCACGATAGACTTTTCACCCCCCCAACACACAGAAAATAGATATATTTTTAAAATGTGTTGAGGGAGAGTAAGAAGATACTGGTTACGTCTCGGTGAAGTAGTAGTTTAAAAATGACGCACGCCTGAGCACTAAGCCCGCGGCTCCGCTGCTGGGTCCTCGCCTAGCCACTTCCGCGCAGCCAACTCGCACTCGCTCCTGACCCACTGCTGCAGTGGGCGCCCCGCGTGCGTCCCTCCCGGCCTTGCGCACGCTCGCGCACGCGCCCACTGCAGCAGTGGGTCGCGGGTTCAATTACCCCCAGCCGCGTTTTTAGGCCGCCGCAGTCCGCCTCTCACTACACTGTGAAAAATATCGTCATAAATTTACATTTTTTTTGTAAACTCGTATTATAATTTAAGTTGTGAATGTACAAGAGTACAGTTTTTACTCGCCAATTGATTTTAAGTTGATACGAACTGCATGTGTTTTTACGATAACAAATTGTAATTTTACAACTTGCGTCCAGGAAAATTTTCCTGTAAACCTTCCTACTATTTTTCACAGTTTAGATTACCGAACCGCTAATGAGGCAACTACAACAGTCGTGCCACCTTGTGAGCCATCCATAGCAGCTAACAGAACACTCACCTTTGTACTTGGGGACGAACGTCTTGATGTCATGGGGGGTGTTTTGGTAAAAGTTGAGCTCCCGAGAGTTGAGCGGCTTGCAGATGGTGGACTGGTTCAGGAGAAGGAGTCGCGTGTGACCGCCGACCTGTGAACAGAGAGCGCGGAGGGCCACTGTTAAGGTACAGTGTCCATACTCAGCTAGGTGATGTAACTTCAACGTACCGCACAACGACAAAAAATTAAAGAAAAAAAAATCCTCGAACATCAAATAACAAATTGTACTCCTTGGGAAATTTTTTACGCATATTGTTTTTTTACTGAGGTTTTACTAGTTATGTTTTTCAAAAACCCATTGAGAAAACCCTAAAGCTAAAGAAAGCAGGAGGTAGAAGCTAATTTTCTACATGCAACAACCACCAGCATGCGTGTGAAAGTAGGAGCGAAAATACGACTATTTCTTTGTTTAGAATGGAGAGCGTATATAGTATGAATGCAAAAACCCGGGGAGATATGTCGCTACAGGGCGGGGAAAGAGTAAGAGAGCCAGACATCATGGACTAAGTGTGTAGAAAATGAATAAAAATTGGTGAAGTTTCAGAGGTTTGAAAAAGTCGAATACTTACCTGACCGACTATGAGGCGAAGCGGTAGGGACAGACCGAACTACTTTTCCCAAAAGGCTTATCCGTTTTCCCATGTCCGGCCTTGTCCCGACCACAACATCTGGAATGTCACATACAAGTGAGTGGGCCCCCCAGTCCCCTCCCGCCCCCCGGTGTCCCCCCTAAGGGCCCCCACGAGGTCAGCCCCCCGAGGCACCCCGACGGGAGGACAACCAGGACCAAACCCATGACACCTAACAAAGCGGATGATGCTTAGGTTACATCTTTTGCAAAAGGCAGTAACAATTTTCAAAAAAAAATAATAAAAAATTACATGAATACAAGGCCAAGCACGGTAAAAACAAGCCCTGGGAATCCCAGGAGTTTTTTCCGTTTCCCAGGGGAGTTGGAAGAGTCCCAGGAG